AGTTTCTAATATACTTTTTTGTAAAATAATTGAGATTTGCAAAAAAAAATACATTTTTACAGGAATTATTGATTGAAATCTTTTGTTATTTATTGTAATTACTGGTGGTGTTTTATTTCTATTGCGTTGCAATATTCTCAAAAAGAAATATAATGAAAATATTTATCCTTTTTACAACACATTGTAGATACATTATTTATCAAAATAAATTTATAAATGTAAGTAAAGAAGTGTACTTAACTTTTATACTGAATTTAATATAATTCTAGAGCACGTTTAATAAATTTTGTTAAATTATTATCCATATCCCTTTTTGTAAGTATTGCAGTAAGAACAAGTCTCAAACCGATATTTTCACGGATCTCGAGTTTTAATTTAAAACGAGGAAAATGCTCATTGCCGTCGATGTAGTCCTCATTGTTGACATTTTTTGTGACCTCTTAATCTTGGAAACGGCTCCACAATCGATTTTAATAGAATTCTCTATACGTATCCTTTATCTTACGGACAAGACGCTGCTGCTATTAAATTTATTACGTAATATAGGGTGCATCTAAAAAGTTCTGAAACTCAACAACTTCATAGAAATTTCAGTTCCACTTCTCCTTTACACCGCACTAATTCTAATAACGAAAAATAATTTTAGTGTGTGTGAGTATGAGTATCACGTCTAACGAAATAACCTCAGATTAATGATCTAAGGAAATAACATACTGGTTGATCCGGAACCAAGTCAAGAAGGAACGTTGAAAAAATCTTTCTCCTAATTCAATACACCGTTTGCAAATCGTAAACTAGATGCATTTAACCTCGTTGTGAATGCAACTTATTAATGGATAATTATTACTCCTGCTTAAACACATAGGGTCCACACATTTAATAAATTACAAGCCTCAAGATAGGTCAATTGAATCTAATGAAGTATCCTAACAATGTTGCATCCTGTATTAGCATAGAAATTTCTATTTTTATAATAATGTCAATATAAATTTGTTATTAAATAAAATTTGTATTTGTAACATATTATGGGCCCCATGTCCAGGAGAAAAACACAATAAATGTCGAAAACAAAAGCAGATTTTAAAAAGCTGTTAATACTAATATTTTATTCCTAACGTGATTTTGCTAAATACGGCAATTAAAAAAAATAATAAATCTACACAGAGAAAAATGTTTATTGCTGGTTAATATATATTTATGGCTCCTTAATAAAAAATTTAGCTCAATATGGGACAAGAATCAAATCTATTAGCGGTTAATAAAAACAGGTTTCTGATAATGTATATTTGAGACAAATGTACAAAGCGTGATCAAAATTAGATATTACTGGCAAATAAACGATTTAATCAACAAAATATTAACGAATAATGAACTAAACATTTGTCTCTAATCAAGTTATTAGTGATATAATTGTATATACTTGTGATTACTAAATTTTTTATTTCTGCTAAATAATTAAACCAATAACACTAAAAATACTGTGTTTTCGTCACTAATGTTATTGGATAGCAGCCACTAATGCCCAATTTATTAGTAGCAATTATATAGAAATTATTGGTACTATTTTTTAATATTTACTATTTATTATATTCGTTAGTTATGACAAGTAGATTTATTATTTATTATAAACATATTGTTTATTTAGAAAAAAAATAATTTCTCAAAAAATTTTTTTAGTAAAACAGGATATATTTGTAGCAAATAAAAACAGAATTTAATAAAAAATATTTATTTTTAAAAATAAAAATCATCCTATACATTAGAAAAATAAAAAAAAAATTAAAATCCAAAAAATACTCTAGGAAAAACATCACAACTTAAAAATTCTCTTTAAAACTATAGATTCATTCAACGAAAAGGCCCACCCTTATATTTTGTTTATTTTTGAAGTTAGAAAAAAATTTTTCAAATAAAAGTTATAGTGAATCAAATGATCTCTTTTAGAACCATAAAAGCGGGACAAACCAAACTTGCATTTTTTTAACTGGAACACCCTGTATTTCTTTACATTTTTGAAATCTGTGTTTTTTGTGATTTCAAATATATGTATATGTTGCATCTTATCATTTACTGTTTTTCGTTTATTGCAAATTTTATACTACCAGCATCTGCATACTTATCAGATTAGCCATGGATGAAAAACAATTAATTTGACACTTATGCCTTACAGAATAATTATTTAATGAATTTAAAAAGCAAACTGTTTTCGGTCGTGACGTAACCACACGAATATCAACGAGTTTTGAATTCTAATAAACTAGTAATTTGCTCTTAGATACTGCCTATTTGCCTTAAAAATCAATATATTAATCCCACAACCTCCGTTATTAATAATTAATAAAATGGAATAAATAGAAATGTATATTTGTCATTAATAATCATATCTTAACCATTAATACATTTTTTTAATCACAATATCACTGTTATTTGTACTAAAAAACTAAATAATAGTTTTTATTTGGCATTATTAGTGAACTTTATTATTTCTTAAAAAAAAACATTTGCTACTAATAAAAAAGTGTCAAATTAAAAGTTTATTTGGGCCATTTTTCTCTGTGCGTAAATCTATCTAAACTGTTGGAAACTTGAAGTAACTTAAAATTATAAGGAGATTTGAGATAGGTTTATCGATTAATTAGGAGGCTTTGAAACAAAAATGTATTGTTATGTTACCTGCCATATAACAATTAATCGTAATTGTAATAACTAAGTGGCAATAATTGTCGTATATAATGGTTAGAGTTATGAATCTATACTTTATAGAATAATTGGTGTGGCGAAATCACAAAGAAATGTAGCTCAAAGGCTACATATAGATCAAAGTGTTGTTTCGAGGGCATGGCGAAGGTTTCACAACGCAGGATCAGCGCAAGATATCCATAGAGGAGGCCACACAAGAATAACAGCCAGAATAGATAAGTATATTACACGCGAGGCTCTTAATGAACGGACCATTAATTAAACAACGCTCAAAAATACAAGGAACACAATTTAACGTTTATTCCGAAACCATTCGAAATCGATTACATGAAGCCCATTTGAATGTTCGACGGCCTAACATAGGCACCCCAAATTAACAAGAGACCACAGAAGAAATCGTCAGGCTTTCGCTCAAGAGACCACGTGAATTGGGGTCTGCAATAATTGTTACTCGATCGATTTTCTTATGGAGGAGGTTCCATGATAATATGGAGTGGAATTTATTGATGTGATCGAATGGAACTTTCAATATTCGTCAATCTGTCAGTAAACGCTGCATGGTATCTTGAGGTTTTGCAAGAAAACATTCCTCAGTTTGCAAATGAAATTGGTAATGGATTTATATACGTGGAGGATAATGCGAGGCATCATAGAGCGGTTATATTAAATCAGTTTTTTGAAAATTATCAGCTTAATATTATGATATGGCCCCTAGAGTACAATCCATGTGTTGAAACCGTCGTCCTTCTAATCGCCCTGAACCACCTCGAAATATTGAAGAACTTGTTAATGCAATTCCTGAGGAATTGTGGCTAATTCCACAAGAACTATTGACAAGGTAATTTCCAGCATGCCTCTACGATGTAAAGCTGTGGGAGCCTAACCAGATGTTAATGTTTATTCATGTTTTACGTGTTTGTATATATTTTTAATTTAACAATTTGTTTGCTGATTTTTGACAGTTTTTTAAATAAAAAAACGCGAATATGCATGATTTTAGGAAAATTATCATAATTTTAAAACTAAAGCAGAGGGCGTAGATTTTCAAAAAACGTTTCTTAGGAAAGAATTAGACTTTCTAATTATACTGTTGTAAAAGTTTAATTAATTACCGTCACCCCATGTCACTTATCAAGTTTAAAAGAACACGTGGTTGTATAATTGTTTAAGAAAGTGGATAAGGAGCATTCCTGAAGATTACAGCGCAATTGTTTGCAATTAACGTTTTGAAAAAATCGTTCAATTTGACACAATTATCAAGGAATTATTACGGTTCGAAGCTCACTATAATTTTAAGCGACTTCAGCAGTGTATGTATACAATTTTTTAGTCAGTTCTTAAATAAAAAAAAATATTTCTTATGTATATACAATATACTGTGAGCATAAATAAAATTATGTAAAACTGTTTATTACTCTTTGAACCGTCCTAATTTAAAATTAGTAAAATGCGCAGGTAATTTTGGCCACACTCCCAAACTAGAACATTTCAGTTGTAAAGCAGAATTTTTAATGCTCGTGTTACTCATCTACAAACAAAATTTACAAAGAATTAATCAATAACTTTTGAAATGAGTTAATGAAAAGACTTCCTTTAAATCCACACCACAGTTTTTTTGTGTCCATTGAATTACCATCTGTACTGTTTGTAGCTACATTAGTTTATCCCGGTGATATTTATTTTTAATTTTGTTTTTATTACTAGAGGTCGGATATCGGTGAGTCATTCCAGTGCCGTCTACAGGAACCTTGATAAGAAATGCAAATTTATGTCATATCAGTTTGTTTACATTGTGTAAATATTTATATAACCATACAAAAATTAATTCGTTTATCTATTTTCATTAATCATAATTTAAAAAACCTTCTATGTTATTTAAAAAATTAGTTCGATTATTAAAATTTTGTTTAATAATATAAAACTGTTTGCTAATTATGTAGATGCATAAATCGGTTCGGTGGAGTAGTTAGCTAGAGCACGCGATGGCAAATGTAATTAGATAATCTCTCCATCTACCTGCGGGTTCGAATCTCGCCACCCGCACTGACATTGTCGGTGGGAATGATTGTATTTTTTTTTCCATAAGTGTAACACACGCCCATGCAGCTTCGGCTTTGGATTCGGGGGTTGTCTAATTTCTGTGATATGTTATGTTGTTATTTTTTTAATATAACACCACAGGTAATCATAAAGGTACTTCAAGGTACCTTGTGTGGGAGAGGGCTACACATTTAGAGACAATGGACACACACCCAGTATCTGAGTTTGCTAGAATTAATCTCTGGTTTAGAAGATATCCTAGCTTCTCGGCTGGGAATCGAACCCAGGACTCCAGGGTGAGAGGCAAATGTCCTTACCGCTTGACCGCGAAACATTATACATTCGAGTACCTTCTAAAAAATCATATACGTACCTAATTCAAACTGTGGATTAGAATTTGCGTAATTCTCGCAGCCAGAAAGTTATTAAAGGCACCAGAACGCCCGAACGCAGCATCGTATTAGTGCAGAAACGTTGATGTAAAAAGGGTCATACTACAATTGGATACTAAAGAGGCAGTAGCTTTTGCAAATGCTGAAGAAGCCATTGTTGCCTAAAAGATTTAGAATTTATACACTCTAGCTTGTCACGAATCTCTCTCGCTATAAAACAACTTGAACGTCGACAAAAACAGGAGAGTTTGCCATAATCGATGCGATGAATGTAGTGTTTGATCTTCGACAATATATGGAAAGTGTCTTACACAACAATCCTGCTTTTGTCACACAATTTCAATCTAAACAAGTTTTTTTAATGGAATTTTTTCATAACTTGAAAAATAAAGTTTATTAGTGACGAGAAATTTTCTTATAAAACACTCGATCAACTTAATTTTGATATATGTATGTTAGTTTTACATCAAGCACGACTGAATCCTCAAGTGTCATTCCAAAATTCGACAATTTGTTGTCCATTACACCTTTCGTTACATCTATACTGGGACACAGTGTATGTGTAAATCTGCCAAGCTTCTCCGATACACGTATCCCAATATGATTCATGTAACTTGTCTGGCTATGCCTAGCAATCTGTACCAATGCCTTGAATACAGTACAGAAGATTTCATGAAATGTTAAGACACTCGAGGTAGGTATTTTAATTGTTCCGTACAAATGATTTTTATGTTCCGGCCCTGGGCGCACGGAAATTGTCCGGTGTCTATCAATAATAAAATGTCAGTGTTTTTATTATATTTAAATTTATGAAACATTAGTCTTATTCTGTTGACCGATTTCTTTTGTTTTAAAAATATTTCAAGACGACAATTTTGAAATATTGAATAAAGTAAAATATAAAATATGCATATATTATGTTGAGTTTGAGTTGAGTTGAGTATGAGTTTCACCCTCTTGCGGCAAAAATATAACCATCGCAAGATTTGAACATCTGCAGATGTATCTCATTCCCTTGCGACGATTGTATGTGGTATTTTTATTTTATTAAATATTCTAAAAACTTTTTGTCCACTTCTACTTTTGACAGATTAAAACGTTAATATTTGATTTCCTCTTTTATGTATTATACCAATAAAAACCAATTGGACATATGAGTCTGCGCAAGAAACACCGCATTCTGTCATTGGACATATAACTTACTGTTTAGTTTTCTTTGTACCAATTTAAAAAAATGACAAGTCTATAATAAATAAATAGTGAATTAATAAATAAGTTTTCTGATTTTTGGCATATTGTTTCTGCGTCGGTGTTTATGTTTAGTCTTATACAGCATACGTATCGATAAGTGCGCAGTAGGAATGCGCGAAGTTCATTCAGATCTGAAGTCGATACTTTGTATTAGTGTATAGGCGAATGAATTTTGTAATTTCCCGATTTTCACGCTAGCTTAGTAGTGTTTATATTGTGTCTTTTACCGGACAGTGAAAATTTCTTCAATTTTCCGGTATGTACCCTTTAATATGGTAACAAACATTTAAATAGTGTTGAATTACCAAAAAATGCCACTCAATTTTACATGAATACACTTCGCTTTTCCAACCTTTCTACTCTAATCCACTAAACGTTTTCAATTTGTACTATCGTATTAGTTGTTCTAAAAGTGCTTTTTTATTTGGCACATTCAGGTTTAGTAAACAACAATTAAATTTCTATTAGCGCGCGATAATTTTTTTATTCGCAATTGTCAAATTACTATAATAAGCTTATCGACAATTTTTTACTTGCCTTTTTGTAAATTGTGTTATTTTTACTTTAGTTTAACTTATAGATATATGAACTTGATTAAAAAAAATAAAATTGGGAGAATTAATATCTTAATGTGATTTGAAAATTAAAATATATCGAATTTAAGCCATGTATGTCAAGGCAGTTAATATATAGGTCAAGTAGAATCAAAAGATTGTCAAAATGTCACTAGGGTGAAAACTGAGCTTCTCTAGAGCTTTTCTCATAGTTATTAACCAGCTTTCAAGGAGATACGTCCTGTAAGTGCATTATCCAGTTATAATTCGTTTACTTTAAGAAATAAGTGTATTATTTAATAACTTTGAAAATATTAAACCCGTGATAATTGTAATTTAGACATGTACATGTAGAATATTATCATCACGTATTTACAAACATTTTGTGACGAATTATCTGTCAAGTTTCGGTTTGGTGATAAGGGCTGGGTTAACTTAAAGTACATTTTAAATAATTTCGTAAACAATAATTTCATTGTTAAAAATTAAATACAACTTCTTTGTAAAAATATAAGATAGTTTCACACCCATACATTATATCACACCCAGACAAATAACTAATTAAAATATATTTGTAATTACTTACTTTTAACCCTACACAATATTACATTTTTTTTTATTTATAGGTATGTGTTTTGGCTTTTAACATTTTCATTGTAAACGATTATGAGACAATTTTATCATAAAAGTATGTTTCAGTTATTTCAGTTGTCTTGCAAATTAAATTCGTGTGATAAATGCGATATTGTATATATAAATGCTGTTTTAGAAAATTGTTTTCACCATACCAAAGACCCTATACTGGCAAGTATAAAAAATTAATAATATGGGATGTATATAATGAAAGAGTTTCTTATCCGTAACATGAAAAGGTCGGTTGTTAATATGTAGTTGTTTTTATTGATTGGTTAAATATATTAAATAAGAATGTGGCCACGTAAAAAGCAAGATTTGGGAACGGGCCGACAGGAATGGAAGCATGTTTATTTCACGTTATTAATTCCATAATATATTTCCGTGTCTGGAACTTTTTAATGTATGTTAAGTTCTCTAAACCAAGAAGTCAGTAAAATAACCTTAATTTCTTACAGCTTTTTAAACGCAGAGCAAATGGGTAAAAAACTATTTAGTTTTGAATACATTTTTAGAAATATTTTTGACTAAAAATCCTAGAAAATAGCATTTATATAGTTTCTGTCACTTAAAATTAAAAAATAGTAATTATTTATTAACTATTATAATTTTTATTATTAAATATTCAGATTATGGTTGTTTAATTATTTAAAATTAAAAACATTTATTATAAATTTTATCTGTATTCAGTGGGCATTGAAATTATAAAAATACATCCTCTCACAGTGTTGATAAAGTTTCCCTGTCTGAATTCTTATTGTTTATTTCACAGTGATGTCTTTTGTTTTAGGTAGAAGACAAAATTATATAAAATGGCATTTGCAGGGTTAAAGAAACAAATCAACAAGTGCAATCAGGTAAGATTATTTGCTGGTTTGTTATAATTTTGTTCATCAAAAGGTGGTGGTCCGAAAACGGTTGCAAATAAGTTCTAGTTCAAAAGAAGAAACTCAGTTTTCCTTTTTTGATAAATTTAAAGTAATGCTGTAAGAAGCCCTCTAAAACAATTTTATAAAATCAACAAAAAAATTTTTATGTTACATACTTCCACAAAATAAATATAAACAACATTGAGAAAAACTAGTTTTTGTTAAGTCGTTTTTTATATTACTTACTTTTTGTCTCTACAAATTGTAATATTTTTAGTGTTTTTTTTTAAGTTGTAAATCAATAAGGTTTTTCTTATTTTTCATGCATGTTTTACATATGTTCCAAAATGTATAATTATGTAATGAACAGTAAGAACGTTCATAAATAAATATAGTTTTAAATTTCCGAATAAAATAGATTGATAAACATCTTGCCAAAATATTCCTCACGCATCCACCATTTTATCGATACTGCAGAATTACATAACTGGATTAATATGTAATATTCACTCGGTGGCTACAAGACAATGTATGTCTAATAGGTATCTGATTGAAATTTAATCATCCTGTGTGGTTGGAATGTTTTCAAAAGGTTGAAGAAAACCAAATTTTAAATAATCCACATTTCACCTTTTCAGTCATTTAATTTAATAAATAATAAAAGCTCTGAACAAAATTCGCATGTTCTTGTCATTATCCTCTAGCAATGTTCTAAAATGCTCTGGTATAAAATAGAGTTAATGACACAAAATAATAGTACGAAAAGCACCAGGGCATTTTTTAACATAACGTTTATCGAGCAGCAAGTCAACCTGGGTTTGAAAACCAGCTACAGGTCGACCGAGTTGGATATTTATTTTTCTTATATAATGAAAAATATAAATTTCATAAAATTTTATGTTTAGTTGGGCCATAGGTACTAAAAATGTTTATTTCGTTTTATTACATTTTATTTTTCTAGAAATATAATCAATATATAAGTCTATTTAAAAAAAATATTGCTATGGCAGCAAGTCAGGTGTAAACATCTGGTTTGGGGCTCAGCATTTAGCCTCTCTGTAACAGTGAAGAATTCGGGGGGCAATTTAGTGCGTTGTCGAGAATTAACAGTGCCAATTCCTGTTGAAAATCTGTAGTATAGATGGATCTAAGCGTATCATTTCATTTCTTGATATAAGTGAGTTGCAAATGGCTAATACAATAGTTAACTAGAAAATAAACCGTGAAGTAAAACTGTCAGTTACATATGCAAACTGCAACTAGGCTACATAGAAGTTATCGAACAGAACTAATAATATAGTATGCCAAGTTTACTAGAAAATCTTAAATGAAATCTTGAAATGCAAGGAACTATGACGATGCTGCGCTTCTTCAAATAAAACCAATAGATACAAGCGCGCGTCGTGCTACGATCTCCGAAGCGGTCAGAGTAGAGTTCAGTAGAACCTCTGTAGTAAGATTTTTTTACACCATAGCACAGAGGGCCAGAAAATTCGAAAAGCGGCCAAAAATCTGAAAATGGGCTAAAGGGCTTTAGAATCCTAGGCTTTACATGGAAAAAATAATTAAAAAAATTAAATTACCCGGGGGTAACTTTTTAGGGGGTATAAGGTTATTAACTGAATTTACTAGAC